AAGATGCCCTGAAAGCGTCTCTTGATTCGGAAGAAGTGAGGATTGGGGCTGGAATGGGCTCACTTGGATCGGACGGGGAGCTGTCCGGATAGCCGAGCTCAGGGGCTCCCTTTGAAGAAGGGGATCCCTTCTGGTCATCCCGGGGAGAGGCACCATTCCTGGTAAATCCCCTCCCCCAAAAAATAATAAAGCGGGGGGGGGGGAACTCCTCCAAACTTTAACCAGCGCCCTCATAGAAGGCGGGCAGCGGAGGGATGGGAAACTTCCATGGAGGGATCAGAACTTCCAGCTGTTTCTGGGAGGATCTGCCGGCTCGTTGCTTTTCCCGCTCTCTCTCCTTTTTTTTGTTTTTAGGTGTGCTACTCACCTTTCCCGCCTGTTTCCTTTGCGGCCGGTCAGGCTCGTCTTTGCCTCTGTCCTGCACGGCTGTCCTGCTCACGCGTGCAATCGGCCTTCGCGCCGGCACTCCTGCTGGTGCCCGCAATCTGCCCGGCCTCCCCTTTGGCCCTGGGCAGCACCTCTGCCCTGCGCGGCTGGCTGGATCAGCCTCTGCACCGCCGCCTCCGCCATAGCTCCATGAGGCCGAGGCAAGGCAGCTTAACCAGGCAGGCCACCCCCCCATGCCTTTCGCCATCCCCATTACTGCCCCCGTTGCCCCTTGTCTTTCTTCTCCCCTGCGCGGCCGGCCGCTGTAGCCTCTCGCCTATTCCCAGACTGCACATGTGCGGAGAGCTGCGCATGCGCGAAGAGGAGGCAACAGCTCGGCCCAGCAATGGCTCGCGTGCCACCAGAGACGGCTCCGCGTGCCGCCTGTGGCACGCGTGCCATAGGTTCGCCACCACGGGGTTAAACAAAGCAAAAGACTTAAATGTGCTTTTCTTTGCTGGAGCTATGAATCCAATGACACTGATTGCTCAAAACCTCACGACCTAACGATCATAAGGTGAACAGTAGGATGTAGAGAGATAGTTAAAGGTTTACTGTGTATTTCTTGCCTGAAAAGTCACCTATTACCTTCATTTCCAGGTACACATGCACACAGCATGTGACCTCGGATTCTGCACCTGATGGGATGCAGCTAGATAGAGCTTCACACAGGCAGGGCACCTTTCTATCCACAGCAGCTGTAGCTTCCACTGCCTGTACATCTTAGTTTGCCGAAATATTAAGTCTCTCACCCTTTCTCTTGGTAATAACAACAGACATAAAAAGCAGCCAATTCGATTAGTTAATAAGGAAAAAAAGGCAATTTGTTTTATTTTATACTGTAGCTGCTAGTCTACCTATTCTCCAGTCAAATTAGAAAATTAAATAAAATATTAAAAAACTGTACTAAGCCAATTTAGAATCACAAAATAACGTCCCAGCTTTGGGTTTCCCGAACTGGTCATTTGTGAGGGGTAAAGAGGAAAGGCCTGCTGTTCTGATCATGAATCTGCATTTAATTTCAGGTGTATGTTCCAGTTCAAAGGCTAGGTGTAATCTGTATAATGCATTTTTGTAAATAAAGCTCCTTTCAGTGACAGCTACAAAAATCTCATTCCTTGTTTCAGCTCACGCACACACAGAACATTTCCACCTCCAGCAGCCTTTGGCATCCGAGATGCCCTTACCTGTCTGCTTGCATCCAAGCCTCCTGATTGCAGGGCCCATGCTGACACTGTATTAAACGCTTTGACCACTTTACTGCCTGGGAGCAGCTGGGCAAGATACTCAGCATTCGATTCTGCATACTGGTTTATTTTAAGGTTGTTGCTCACGTCCACCAACACTTTTTCATCAAGGATTTCTCGTAGGCTTTCAAGAAAGTTGTAATGCACTCTCTGGACTGCTACAATGATAATGTCAGATGTTTCAGCAGCTTCTGCATGAGATAGGATTGTGGCTCCTTGAGGAATCAGTCCAGTGTTTTGAGTGCTTCGGCTCCCATAAACAATGGAATAGCCACACTGCATCAGCTTATAGCCCAGAGATCTTCCAAAATCACCCGTTCCAAAAATGCACACCGTCTCCATCTTGCTGGGCATATCTGAAGTAAGTGGAATCATTGGATTGACATTTTCAGACATATCTGAAATTATTCCTACAATGCAGAATTGTTCATGTTAACTTATTGCTAGAAATAAAAAAAAAATCAGTCTGATTCTCAAGTACCTATTAGATTATACATCTTGGTGACTTTCACATGTGCCGATGCTCAGCTCTCATAATATTGACTGGGAATTATGTCAGTTAAAACCCAACATTTGGATTTTAACTGACATAATTATTTGAGGAAGGCTATATTCATAAATGCTAGATAATTTCAAGTTAATGTAGCACATACAGTAATACCTAATTGAAGTCTTTTGTTACATAAAAAACTTTCTGGTGCCTTCAGAATTTCAAGTTGAAGAAAATATGTATGTTGGTTTTGTTGTTACAAGTGTGCTTGAAATTTGATATAAAGCACACATTTCTCTGACTTTACTAACAAAATTTGCTATCTTGCTATTCATTGCTACAAAGGTGGATATAGATTTTGCTTTAGGGAGGGTGATATCCCCATTGTGATTCATATTTTGAATAATGAATTATGTTTTACATACAACTAGGATTTTTACTGGTGCTTGGGGAATATATTTTTTAGAATCTAAGCTCTTTATTTATACACCTCTCCTTCATTTCACTAAGCTTCTTTTCCCCCTGAATACAGAAGCATAAAGCAAATAGTTTTATCCAAGTTGATGTTTTTTGGTGTGTTGCAAGGGCTACAGAAGAAATAAAAGGCTGTAAAGTTATAAATGAAGAGTTATAGAGGAAAAAAATATTTTATAAATTTAAGAGTTTCACTCAAAGTCACATGTGGTCACAGTACCAATCACAAGCAAGGGAATATGAAAACAATCTATTTAAAGAACAAATGTGTTGAACAGGTTTCCATTCCTTCCATTCTCCTCCCACCAAATGCTCTTTGACATATATCAAGAACCTACTGATTTTTAATTTAAGAACTAATTAAGAAATCAAAACTTTGAAGTTCAGGATGGTCTTCATTCATTACAGTATGTATCACTACAATGCCATGCAATGCAATACTGATATAATTAGATTACATAATTATACAATGTAATGATAATAAAATAATTTAAGTAAGGTTTATTTATTTATTTGGTGGCTTTATTATTCCAGTCTTCTGACTCTGAACAGTGTAAAACTCAGTAAATTATAATTGAGATTAAAAGCAGGCAAATAATGAAACAAACAATCATCACTCTTTAAACAACGCTCTTTAAAGAGCAAGTAATTTTTTTTAAAGGAAGCTTCTGTGAAATAGGAAGAAGGACCATTATCAAAACAATAGTCAGATAAAAGAAGTATAAGTCTGGGGCAGGAATGTAACATGAATATCTCAAGACAAGCTCCTTCTTAGTTTTCATGAAAAAAGAAAAGGGGGGGAGCACGTTCAGAAATTCAAGATTTTGTTACTCTATATGTTACATGATGAAGTGTGGGCAGCTGGATGCTGCATGCTATATAGACAGTGATGGGATTCAAATAGGTTCTCTGTGTGGATGCCCCTTCTGGAAGCCCCTTCTGGGCCTGGGCAACAAAAAATTAGCTACCGGTTCTGCCGAAGTGGTGAGAATTGGCTGAATCCCACCACTGTATATAGACCATGAGTGTGTAAGTGGGCAGGTTCCATGGTTGGATACTACAGAGTATTGACAGATGGATAAAAATTCAGCAGGAATGGAACTGACTCTAGGAGCATTGCTAAGCAATGCAGTTATATGAGGTTGTGTTTATTATTGCATTTGTTAGCACTGTTTGCTTAGCAATGGAAATTCCAGTCCCAATTGCCTTTAGAACCCCAGGAGTACCTGTAGCGAATTTTCTCACCAACATCCCACAAGCCCAAAAGATAGACAGGCCTTTATCCTGGTCAGATTTGATGGTTCACCATCTGCACAGTTAGGTTAAATTTTCAAAAAATGAAAAATTATAAAAACTAGTCAGGAAAGCAATTCCATCATTAGATGACAGAAGAGTGAAAAAGGATGTTGAGGCAAAATATTGAGGTTGCAGAGATATTGAATGCTTTTTTATAGTTGGTTTTTTTTTTTAGATTTTTCTTTTTATATATAGAAATTTAATTTTAACTTTGTATTTTATATTCTTTTTAGCTTTTAAAATTGCTCACTGTATTTTCCCCTTCCTATGCTGGTCTATGACCATAATAAAGATATTATTTGATTTGAATATTGGAGTAAAATGGGTCTTAGATGGATTATGTTTTTATCCTCTTAAAATATTATTAATTTTGGCTAAAATAAAGCAATTGTATTTCCTTTGACGAAAACACTTTAATGTAAATGTATAGGACAGCCTTCTGTAACTTGCAGTCTTCCGGGCTAGATGATAACATGGGAGAATTATATTTAGGTCAGCAAGTAACATCAGATTGTGCTAGGCTGGTACAAACTTCCAGGAATTGTAGATTTTGATGTGCTCAATGTTACATTTACCACTAGATGTCAGTACAGTTTTATTTGTAACTATGAGTTTAGATTAGAAGAATAAATATGTGACACAAAATTGATTGTGTACTTTGGTTTCTTGTGGCTGTGGTGGGGAATTCAGTAACCAGGGAAATAGTCTTTAGGATCCAGGCAATTTTTAGGATCTATAGGCAACTGGGACTTATTTTGTAGTAAATAGTGATAATGCTATCTTTTCAAGCAATTCTATAGACCAGCTCCCTCCAATTTTCTGATTATGTAGGGCTACTTTCAGTTTTATGTTATGCCCGGTGTCTAGCCACCATGTTTAAATTTGTATTAGAAATATGGGTCAAAAATATGTTCCCATTTAAAATTAGGTATCTTCGACAGAATGGACTTCCTAAACGATTTAATATTTATGAAATTAGAATTTCACTTTCTTTCTTCAAGGAGAAGGTGTTGATCTGGTTATACTGAAATTATATTTCATATATAGTTGCTATCAGTATATTACAGAATCCCAAACTACATTTTATAACTTAGAGTATGTTATGGATAGAAAGCAGAATGTAAGTTAATTAGATAACCATATAGGTAGATGATACATAGATAATAGACCAGCAGAAATAGAGACAGAGACAGAGAGACATAAAGATAGAAGAACAGATCCCAACAGATCTGAGAGACATAAAGATAGAAGAACAGATCCCAATCTACCTCAAAAGATATTTGGGATCATTTATATATTTATGGACACTTCCTTTATCACTTCCCTGGCACTTGCTGCTTCTTACCTTTTTTTAAAAAAACTCTTTTAAGCTAGGCTGCAACATTGAATATTTAGGATCTAGGATCTAATATCTAACGTTTACTTCGAAGAATGCCTTTGGACCTCATTTGATCTCCAGAGGTCTATACAAAAGATAAAATGGTTCTTTGTCTAGAGGAGTGACAGACAAAAGGGCAAAGTAAGCTGGACAGAATATTTTGGAGACCTAAAGACTGCCTTCTCATAAATGGTTATTTTACCATAATCCACACTGGCAAATTTATTCAAAAGGCTATTGTACTCCTGTTTTATTTTATCTTACTTTAAGGGATGCCATAGAGTATTAATGCCACACAAAGACCCTCAAAGTAGGGTTCCTTTTTTAAAAAAAAAAATGTTTCATTGATCTAGCATCGCATTTGTACATGCAGAGGCACTTCTATTAATTCCTTTTAATTTCACTGATTAAATCAGAGATGGGTAAATCAGAGAAGTTTGGGACTATGCATTCCATAATCTACTATTATTGGCTCTCCTCCTTCTGCCTTCATAAATAACCAGTTTATTATCTTATTGACAGCAGCTTTCTGACCGAGCTTAAAATGACTTTTCAGGTACCCCAGTGCTCTTATAGTCAACAGAGAGCAATATGCTAGCCTATTTTTTTTGAAATAGGGAGGAGGATCGTGATTGGTTGTGTTTGCCCCTCTATTTTTCCCCTAAAAAGGGGGAGGGTTATATTTAAGATTTATTGCATACTTTATAAACTTTGCTTTTTTGACATCCCCTTTCCCATTACTGACTGTTTCACATTTGGTTAATGCCAGGATTTAAAAAGAAATAGTGTCATATCCATGCCAGCCATTGATTTATTTAGAAATGCTTTTCATTGTTCAAAGCAAATTTCCAAGTGGGATTTTAATGTGAAGCCAGCAGCAGTTGGTAGGATTGCAGCCTAAGCAAAAGAGCCAGATGAAATCTTGCTGCCTGAGGCAAAGCCCAAGACACCCCTCTTCTTTGCATCCATCTGCTGCAGTTGAATGGGTTGCCAGCTGAGAACTGGAAGCTAAATCTTACTTCATCCCTGGATGGGTGCCTGCTGCCTACACCTGAGAGCAACTGAGACCAGTTTAAGAAATGCAAGACAGACAGAGCAGCACATGGAACACAAGACTGCACATAAACCTCTCTTTCAGGAGAGATACAGACTCAACAAAAAGATTTAGGAGGCAAAGGACTGGCCTTTTGGAGGTGCAAATTCAGAGGCTGGTGGCATCAATACATCACTGTCATGGCCTCATGCTTGGAAGGAGTGAAAGGGTTTATATACAGAGTTATTCTCAGCTTCTTTTTTGTTGGACACTCTGCCTGTTCTTTGCACAAGGAACTACTAATCTGGGGTGACTTCCTAAGGTCTTTTTTCCCAAGTACACACATACCTAGAGCAATGTACTTTGACTTTTTGATCAGCTGTCTGCTAAGCTTTGCCCACTGTACAATGTAGCTCCTGTGACTAAATTGCTTTTCTGTTTTAATGCCTATTTTACTAATCCTCACTCAAGTCAGATTTTTGCTCTCATAATGTTCACAAAGAAAGCTTCAATCTCCAGTGTGCCCCCTCATTTTTTTGACCGCCTTGTAACAACAAAGTAAATTGCATTCTTATTCCTTTTGTTCAGAAAATAAGCTTAGAATTCCACCCTGATCCCGGTTTTTTCCTTATTTATACTCTAACTTTGTTTTTTCCCCCCGTACTACTATATCTGGGGAGATAGGCAGAACTCTAAAATAAAATTAGTCCCATGAATTATAAAAGCTTTGATATTATGG